CACGGGAGTTCTTTCTAAGCTTTCTTTGATTAAGACTGACATTTGTAAAAAAAAAAAATTACTATGAAAATAGTTAAACACAGCTATGTTCCTAAAAGTAACAATTTTATTTTTTTCAATCAAAATAAACCACTAACATTACTCACAGTATACTGTTTTGAATTCAAACCACCAATATTACTACAGTGTACTGTCTTGAATTCAAACCACCAACATAACTCACAGTTTACTGTCTAGAATTCAAACCACCAACATTACTCACAGTATACTGTTTTGAATTCAAACCACCAATATTACTACAGTGTACTGTCTTGAATTCAAACCACCAACATAACTCACAGTTTACTGTCTAGAATTCAAACCACCAACATTACTCACAGAATACTGTTTTGAATTCAAACCACAAATATTACTAGTGTACTGTTTTGTATTCAAACCACCAACATAACTCACAGTTTACTGTCTAGAAATCAACCCACCAATATTACTCAATGTACTGTTTTGAATTCAAACCACCAACATTACTCACAGTTTACTATCTAGAATTCAAACCACCAATATTACTCACAGTAGAGTCTAGAATTCAAACCACCAACATTACTCACAGTATACTGTTTTGAATTCAAACCACCAATCATTACTCACAGTATACTGTCTTGAATTCAAACCACCAATATTACTCACAGTATACTGTTTTGAATTCAAACCACCAACATTACTCACAGTATACTGTTTTGAATTCAAACCACCAATATTACTACAGTGTACTGTCTTAAATTCAAATCACCAGCATTGCTCGCAGTATACTGTTTTGAATTCAAACCACCAATATTACTACAGTGTAGTTTTGAATTCAAACCACCAGCATTACTTAATTTACTGTCTTGAATTCAAACCACCAGCATTACCTAATTTACTGTCTTGAATTCAAATCACCATCATTACTTAATTTACTGTCTTGAATTGAAATCACCATCATTACTCACAGTATACTCTCTTGATTTCAAACCACCAATATTACTCACAATGTACTGTTTTGAATTCAAACCACTAGCATTACTCACAGTGTACTGTCTTGAATTCAAACCACCAGCATTACCTAATTTACTGTCTTGAATTCAAACCACCAGCATTACCTAATTTACTGTCTTGAATTCAAATCACCAGCATTACTTAATTTACTGTCTTGAATTCAAATCACCATCATTACTCACAGTATACTGTCTTGAATTCAAACCAGCAATATTACTCACAATGTACTGTTTTGAATTCAAACCACCAGCATTACTCACAGTGTACTGTCTTGAATTCAAAC